TATCTTTGTGAGTGTGTGTGTCTCTGTTTGTGTTTTTATCAAAAAGGATTACACGAGGCTCCATCAGACTGTCCTCAAAAGCCCGGCTAATTCTGAAATGCCATTTACTCCTCAAACTGAGGTGATCAGCTTGTAATCTCCTCGACGACAAGAAAACAGCTGATTGTTTTATCTGAATGCCTCATTTCAGTTGGTAAAAAAACCTACAATTCAAGTTTCCCAGTGTGACCAAATGTGTTTATTTTGGGGCTTTTTATGCCTTTCTTTAGAGACAGGACAGTCGTTAGAGTCATGCTGGAAAGGAGCCACAGGTCGGACTTGAACCGGGGGCCTACAGCCTCCGTACAGGGGGCGTGCACACTTACCACTAGGCCATTAAACCACCATCATATCCTTTTGTATCTTCATCCTGTATTGACATGATTTTAATTTCTGTCTCTAACAGAGGAGATTGGAGAAACTTCTGCACAGTGACCGCTTCTTCAAAAAGGACTTTGCTGTCGTCCTGCAGCCTTATTTAGAAAACTCGAAACCACCGAGACTTCCTGTAAGTCTTTCTCACACACACACCATACTTATTATAAACTTTATTTGTGTGTTTTTATTTTTGTCCGATGTTTTTGTGTCTCTTATTTCATCTGCAGGACGGGAGCATTGACTTGAGCTTCTTCACTGCAGATTGTTTCCACTTCACTGTTAAAGGACATGAAGAGTTAGCAAAGGGACTGTGGAACAACATGGTGAAGTGTTTCAGCTGTACTCATTATGTTTACATAACAATTTTAACAGCAACCTCTGGTGTTGAATAATGACGCTGATACAGAAGTTCATAGTCCTGCAGTTCCTCGAGTGTCCACTAGAGGCTGGCTGCAGAAGCACAGGAAGTCACACACACACCCATTCAAAAAAGCCTGTTTTTACAGCAGAGATTAACATGTTTACAGCCTGGTTAAAAAAAAATAAAAAATAGGTCTGATCAGTTCATGTCTGGATCGACACACACTGTACGGGGGTGAATTTTTCGTCAGGAGGCTTAAAACCCACCTGAGCTCCAGCTCTCAGCCTGTTGCTAGGGTGACTTCCAGCATGGCAACCGCCATCGATGAGACTCCAAAGCCCCCTGCAGGAACAGACGGCTGACGTCACTCAGGCTTCTTCCATTAATTAATACAGTCTATGAGTAAAACATGTCCATCAGTGTGTCCCTAATCTTTAAATGTCATCACAAAAAAATATATTTTTAAGCAGTTTTATGGCCTTTTTTTTGACTTCACTGACAAGCAGCCAAACGATAATCTAAAGATTATTTATGACTTGGAATTCAATAATTTTACTACTTTTCTCTCTAAAAAAATATTCAAACAAAAATAACCGGCCATCTAAATTAAATATTTGACAAATACTTAATAATGTTTGGCGACTTTATTGCCAGGAATGATGTGTTAATAATTCTTACATACTTTCACCAAAAAGGTGAGGTAATATTCAGTGTGATGTATTTAAAGAATGCAGTCACATTTCATCTTGAAGGGCAGAAAAGTCTGCAGAAGCTTAACAGATTATTTTTCATTGACGCTGACCTTCACATTTGTTCCTCAGTTCCAGCCTGTTGGAGAGAAAGACAAAATAAAGACATTTTCTGATCCAGTGAAACTCATCTGCCCGCCTAAGGTACGACGTGACCCGACATGGTGTAGATTTTCTCTTTTGTGTGTTGATAATATAAATTCATAGTAATATCTCCATCACAAATCTTCTCCAGGAGCATCCGTACATCTACACCAGACCTCGAGTGGACTCATCTGCACCGACCTTGAGACCTTTCTGTGTGCTGACTCTGATTTCTCTGCTCGCTGTGTTTCATGAGCTGTAGTTTAACCTGCGGAGGATTTCCTCTGGAGCCGAAAACATGAACACCTCACAAACTCTAAATATAAAACGAAGGACATATGTACAGAGTGCCTGAATTAAATGTGTTGTTTATCAATGCCAAAGATCTTTGTTCACACATTTAAAGGTTACACATTCTCCTCCTCTTCAAGCAGTTTAAAAAAGTCTCAGAGCTCCTCAAAACATGTGTGTTAAGTTTCTTGTTATAAATCCTCTCTAATCTGTATTTGACCATGCCTCTATATGTCAGCCCTGCTGGTTATTAAGCTCTGATTTTGTCCTGTATTAATGTTAACGTTTCGTTGTAAATCTGTCTACATGGGGAGATATCAGCATCCTGATGATCTTATTTGAATATTCTTCGGTCTGATTTGCAAACTCTCCAGTTTGGATAAAAGTGAATTGAAGGTGTTTAGATTTATCGCTCAGTGAACAATCTGGTTTAGCAACTATTAACTTCACTCTCACACGCTGTGCTGAAATGTTGTCTTGTTAGTCATCAGGTTTTTGTTCCTGAGAAGCCGAAGACAATTTTCCACATTGTGGACGATTAAAGTTCTGTTCTTCTTCTGATTTCATTTGTTTGCACAGAAGACCTGTGGCTCCTTTACCGCATGTCATTCCTTGCTCTCTCCTGATTTCCTGCCCTATCCACTGTCCTATCAAATAAAGGCAAAAAGCTCAAAAATAAATATTTTAAAAACATAGATTGATAGGGATGGTGAGCTGCCTAGGAGAGGTAAATGGACATTACATATATATTTAAACACCTCTGTATTTAACAGAATACTGACCAATAATCAGTCATTACAACATAATTCAACTTTTATTATGCGGAAGACAGTTCAAAAGGTTATAAAATGTGCACAATGGTACAGTTGCAGAAAATACAACAGAAAATAAGAGTTTGGAGAGTTTTAGGTTAGTCTGATTTATGTTGTGCAAAATGTTGACTTGTAATTCTTTAACCTGGTTGGAATTTATACATGCCAGTTTCCAGTCTTTATCAATTAAAATTTTGTTCCCAAAATGAAGAAATGGGAAAGTGAGGGTAACTTTGTAATGTCAACAGAAAAGTCACTTTGTTCAACATTTTTTTTCCTCAAACATTTGTTTTATATCATCAGCACTAAAGCGTGCAGGTCAGGGAGCCTGCTGGGGAAGGTGTGGGGCAGCGAGAGTAAATCATCATCATTGTGTCTTCTGGGATTCAAAACTACTGGAAAGCAGCATGGAAACTTTTTAAATTTAAAAGTTTAAAAAATCATGTTGGATTTGGCTTTAAAGTCTTGTATCTATGGAAAATGCCACTTCTGTTTTTCCAAAGCATACATGTATTTTGATTTTATTGCACTTAAAACAAACATACAAACATAATAGATGAATGAAAACACAGACAGTATCTTTTGAAAGAAATGTGCTGGAGGAGCCAAATAAACCCAGAGGGGCTTGTCGAGTGGCCCTCCTACAAAGAAACATGTAACACAGAGACAAATTATGAAAGTAGCCCAAGCAAATACAATACAGCTAACCAGAAAACATACTCAATAAAGAGAAAGAGAAACTTTATTGATCCCCCATGGGGGAATTTTTTGCATTACAACAGCTCAAGAAAACAGGAAACAGGAATATAATTGTTAAAAATAACAAGAAGTTAAAAATCAAACATATTTACATCAGTTAAATAAAAAAAAATATAATAATAGAATAATACAAGGTATGTACACTTCCACTTGTGGAAAGAGTTATTATTATTAAAAACACACACACAGTGTGTAGCATTATTGATATGAGTCATGAGGTGGTGATGCTGTTAAAGAGTCTGATTAAACAGTCTGACGGTGTAAAAGGAGTAAAAGAAGGTGTAAAGAAGGTGCACACTTTTTATGTATATATACTTATTTATTTTGATGTCATTGTCGTTGCTATGTTTTGTAAACAGTCGACTATCAGTTACTTTTTTATTGCTAGTATTTCTTGTATTTCTAAATATGATTTCACAATGATTTATGTATGAATGACTCATGTTTTATGTCTAAGACATTTTTTAATTTGACTGTTTATCTAACATGAATTTTTACTTCCTTGCTTCATACTGTATCTACTTGAACTTAATCTCAAGTTATCGGTCCCAGTTGTGGAACCGGGGGTCGTACCATGGGCAGCAGGGTTTTTGTTTTGCCTTGTGTGTTTGTTTGTTTGTTTATTTGTTGTTGCTTATTTATAGAAAACATATTTATATTTTCATTTCATTGTACAGTGTTCCCCTTTGTTATTTTTTGTATTATATATTTGCTTTAATACAGTGAATAACTTCTGTACAGTTTATTTTAAATCACTTTAAATCGCTGTTACTACAACTTATTTATTTTTACTTTTAGTTTTTTTTGTACTTTTCTACTCTTTATTTTCTTTCTATTTTATATATAATTTTAACCTTTTTTGTAGACGCTGACTCAGGGAGAAACACACAAGAATTCCAATGTACCTGTACTGTCCTGTACCTGTGCAAATGGCAATAAACATCTATTCTATTCTATTCTATATACTAGTGTTATTATTATTTTAAGTGGGATGGTTTACATACCCATGACATATGAATTTGGACTGGTGTTTTGATGTTACTGGTTTGTTTTTTGTTTTTATAGTATGCCTTACGTATGTGTTTTCGTTTTGTCACATTGGTGTTTTACCCAAAAAAAAAAAAAGGTGTAAAAAAAAAAAAAAAAAAAAGCAAAACAAGAATAATGTAGGTTGCAAGTTAAAAAAAAATACCTTAAAAAAAATGATTATGTCAACGATATAATGTGTTTGCCTTTCCACTGCTTGCCCTAAATTTAAAATATGTGCTGCAGTACCTCCGTGCAGCCGCCGGGGGCAGCAGAGTCACTGTTTACAGGCTGCAGTACCTCCATGCGGCCGCCGGGGGCAGCAGAGTCACTGTTTACAGGCTGCAGTACCTCCGTGCGGCCGCCGGGGGCAGCAGAGTCACTGTTTACAGGCTGCAGTACCTCCGTGCGGCCGCCGGGGGCAGCAGAGTCACTGTTTACAGGCTGCAGTACCTCCGTGCGGCCGCCGGGGGCAGCAGAGTCACTGTTTACAGGCAGGGAGCAGCTGCGAGCTCCGAGCTGGTCGCGTGGAGTTGAAACCAGAGAGAGACACAGAGGAGGTCGCTGGACTAGTTTGTTTGTTTCTTTTATTAAATAAAACTTATAGAAACTCGCAGGCGAAGTTATTTACCCGCGTCCAGTTCACATGGTGGCAGACTTCAGACTCGGAGGTAAACACGTGTTGATAAAAACAACAACACTTTCGAGCGTTTCGAGCTCGCTGACTTCTGCATGGTCGCTAGCTAGCTAACAGTTAGCTTCGGAAGCTACTCGGCTAGCTGGCTAGCGAGGTCCAGCCCAAAAAAAAAAAGTTGTTTACCTCGAGTTGTGGATGTGGTCACCCCCTGAGCTTTTCGCGTATTTTCTCTGGGATAAGAGAGCCAGGACTAAAACTTCACACTGGATTTAACACCGTTCGCTGTTAGGAAACTAGCAGGATGTCCACAGAGGTTGAGCTTAGTCAGGTCGACTCGGGTTTGACAGCGGCCAGCTCCGCGGAGAAGAAGAGCCAACAAAACAAGTCCGACCTGCAGAAAGAGCCGCAGAAAGGTTCGGAAAAGCAGCTGGCGGACGACGTGGCCAAGGGTCCGACAGACGTGCACAAGAAATGCAAAGAAAACGATAAAGAAAACGACCAGAGCAGCAACGCGGAGTCGACTGTGGAGACGGTGAAGAGGAAAGTTGTTGAAGCTCCTCCGCCGAAAGTCAACCCGTGGACGAAGAGGACGACGGGCAGGGTGCCGATCAACAGCATGAACTCGAGCTCCCACGAGAAAGGTGAGATTCTCTTTTTTAGTTTCTACCTGTGGAAACGGATTGTCACGAAGTCACAGCTCAGCAGAGCACGTTGCTGCTGCAGCATTTTGACAGCCTCCCCCTGCAGGGTTATCCACTTTAATCTCCTGTCATACCTCATGTAGGCTGTTTTTTTAGGAGTCTAATGAAGGGGCATAAACTTGAATGTCAGAGCTGTGTAAGATGTGTCGATGGTGGCATATTTGCCCCCATCCCCCCCTCTGTGCTCCGGAGCACCACGTGTTGATTGCTGACAACTTGCTACTTCTTTTGCCTTTAACTTTAGCCACCTCCAGCTAACTCTTTCTCAGGGTTTATCTGCTTTAAGTGGCAGCGACACGATGCAGGAGGTAATGTGGGTGAATAAAAGCTGAAAGGGGGGTCACGATGTGGGTGTTAATCGGGGGGATTGGTGCTGCAGTCTGTGTGTAAAGTAAGCTAATAAGACAGTCAGGCTAGCTGCTGCTGCTGGAGAGACACGTTTTGCATGTCCAATGGCCTGGCTGCCTGCAGTTCCTCCCACCAGCCTGCTCACTACTGTCACTAGTGAAAGTATGTGAACAAGGTGGATGGACAGGTGGGAAGGTTTTAAGTAGGTTAGGGTTGTAAACTAATGAGTTTGTGATTTTGTGTGAATCTCAATTTGTTTTAGTGATGCACCAGTTAATTATCATCAGGATAAAAACCCCTGAAAATACAGATTTATAATAATTAAAAAAAAGCTTTGGTGCTTTTTTATTTTTAGCTTGTAGCTCCTTTTAGTGAAATGTAGGTAATGTGCTTCATGAGACATTAGAAATGAGAATATTATTCAAACAGTTAAATCCATTAAAACATTTAAAAAATTGTGTGTAAAATGAGAAATAGTGTAAAATCCTCTTCTCAAGTGTTTTCTTGTTTTCCCCCTGAAGATAAATCAGTTTAATCCATGGCTGATATTCAAAATAGTTTATAACTAGGGCTCTGCAATTAATCGAAAGTGAATCGAAACCGACATTCAGAATCGCTAACCGATGTAATCTTGCACATGTCGGTTTTTTTCGATTAGAGTAGATGTTTCTTACCATTTGTACAGGTACAGGACAGGACAGGTACATTGGAATTCTTTGTGTGTTTCTCCCTGAGTCAGCTTCTACAAAAAAGTTAGAATTATATATAAAATAGAAAAGCATTATAAGAAATAAAAGAGTAGAAAAGTACAAATAAAATAAAAAATAAGTTGTAGTAACAGCTAAGTAAATTTAAAATAAACTGTACAGAAGTTATACACTGTATATTAAAGCTATAGATTATTTTCAGGGCAGTCACCTGACGACACGTCCAATCCGAGACATGGAAGCAATGTCCGTTGTTTTGACACATTTTGTCTTTAAGGAAGACGCACCGAACTAAAAGAAGTCAAATATAAACACTGCAGAAACTCCAAGTTATTAGTTTTCTACTGTTTTAAAGAAGTTAATTTCTAATTTAAAACTTAAATGTGTTGTTTTGATTTCAGTTCGAAATATTCAATAAATAACCACAAAATAATTCATCAGATATTCACTCTTTCATTAGAAAACAGATCCCAGATTTAATAGTTGATCATATTTACAGTAGAAACCTCGTCAGTGAACTATGAGGACAAAAAAACAAAAACAAATAATCGTTCATTAATCGTTATCGAGGTAAAATGTTCAATTCATTGTGATATTGAGTTGAGGTCATATCACCCAGACCTTTTGTGTTACAGTTGCAAACATTGAATGTTTATTCTCAATATCAGATATAAATTACGGCTGAATGATTTTATAAAATCTGGCTCTGCAACATGTCTCCTGTCTGCGATATTAAAAAAAACAGGAAGTGATGTCTGATGAATGCAATGACGTTATGTTGGTTTAAAATGGGCAATTGCACCTGAAGAGACGCATCAAGAAGGATGAGTATAAAAAAATCAGCAAAAAGACAAGTAAGAGCAGGGAGAAGTAAAAACGTTTTTTAAATGGAAGTAAACATTTTATCTTTGGTGATGTCATCAGAGGAATTCTGCTTTGAATTCAAAACTTTATCCTATTCTTTTTTTAATCTATAAAAGTCTGTACCATGAGCTTCAGGTGCACGGTTTGTATGATTTGTAGTTCATTAGGCAGGGTGGCTGTAATGGACTGCAGCAATGCATTGTGGGAAGTGTAGTATTAGTTGTTTTTGTTTGTCCCGACGACTAGAAGCCCGGATCTTTTTGTGTTTCTTGTTTTAAATTATGAAGAGTCCTTTAACTTTATGGAGGATCAGCACTAAAATATCGTCCTGTCAGTCGCACTCAGATATCAGAATTTTATTGGTTAACTTTTTATCTGTCTTATCAGTTAACTAACTAATCAGCCGAGTGTTTCATTGCCAGTTTAAATGTTGATACGGTCAGCACAGCTTGTTTTGCATGTGAGAATTTATTGACTGACTGATACGCCGTTGTGATCACTTTTAATTCAGTCGGCTCTGAGGCGAAGCAGCAGCTCGCACACTCAGCTGAGAGTGGAGCTGTGAATGTGTGTCAGAGCTGGGGGAGCTATATTTGAAGCATTCGACTCCCGGGCAGCGCGCAGGCATCATTTTACAGAGTTACTGTACAAACGTCTCTGTGGGTGGACGTCTGCAGGCTCGATCAGGGCATACACCCATTCAAGTCGAAGCCTCGGCCCTGTGTCTCTTATCAATCCGACCATCCTCTGCCGAGCGATAGGGACTGACATGCTGCAGCGGGCCACTCCCAGCCTGCAGCCGCCTGCAGAGACACACATGCATACTGCCTCTGGCCGCACACAAAACACCCTCAACTAGTTCAGCTGGGGTAGAGAGAGAGGGGAGGGGGGGTATTTATTCATCCTGTACTGACAGAAATTCCCAACGAGCAGAGCAAACGAGTAACAGCTTCTTTACAGCAACCTGCTCGATGGTGCTCTTTAAATTCTGGCTGTTCTCTCACATTCAATGATGTCTATTTCACTTATTGATTATGTGTCGACAGATCAACAAAACGCCCTGAAAGTCGTCCGTGCCAGCAAGCCCAGAACGAGAAAATCCAGCAAGGTAACTGTCTCTACTTTTCTTTTGGTCTAGGTTAAGTTTTTGTTCCCTTTTTTTTTAAAACCCTTAAAGTTTCTCAGTTAATCCTCTAAAAATGTCCCCATCATGACATGTCCAACTGTGTAGATAAGCGCTTTCATGTCCTCAATACATCCTGAAAAAGAATCTCAAATCAACACTTGAAATCAGCCACTTTTTTTCTGTTCCTTTACATCACAGCTGATGTTCTGATCACCTTTTAATAAACTCACACGTTGGTGCTTTGAAATGTAGAGTTGTCACATGGGTGACACGTTAGTGTACTGTAACTCCTGCCAGGTATTGACATGCAGGATGAGAAATCAACATCTGCCACAAGTCAACCGTTTGCAGGTTTGAGCTGCCGACGGGCTGTTTTGTTTGCCTCTTTTTCCCAACCAGTTTTTCCACTGCTGCTGTCAAAAATGACTGACAGAAAAGGTACCAAACATTATGAAAGAAAAAAAGAGATTTCTTATAAACTCTCCCAGTCAGAGTTTCGGCTCTGTGGCAGAATAATTAAACAGTTTATTTTCTTATAAGTTGCAGCTTTTAAATACATATTTTATTGATATATCTACAGCAGCACAAACGAACAAATTAGCATATTCACATATGCACTCCTGAAAAGGATTCAGAAGATCTACAGTAAGTTTCTCCGCTTTTTATACGACCGGTTTATTTTGACATTTTCTAAGTTATGTTGTTAAAGCTACATTGTGGAGTTCTTGAACTTTAGTGTTGCTGAGTACACGAGGGCTGCAGTGCCAAAACCAGCAATGAGTCAGCAAAGCCAGAGAAGAAGAAGTAGTAGTAGTGTGCTTTCTACCAGTAAAGATAAATATATTCATCACTCTTTAAAATGCTCTTAAAAACATTGTTGCAGATTTTTTTCATGAGAAAGGAAGTTGTTATAGCTCGAGGCTCCACAGAAAGCCTAAAACTCTGAATGTCAACATAGACTTTGTTTACCAAAGAGCTCCGCGGGGGTGTTTCTAACTCCAGCTGATCTAAATGTAAACCACACAGGAGCTCATCATGTTCATTTGTTTTAAAAGTTTCCCTGAAATTGAGCGAGAGTTCTGAATCCCGAGAGAAGATTCTGGTTTAATTGAGGACCTGTTTGTTTTCTGCTCACCAGCCTGATGTCAAGTAAACGGTTAGTTGGCATAATTTGGCAATGCAGCGTGTAACTCATACCTCGGGTGCTTCACCTGTACTGACCCCGTGAGTGAAATCATTAGCACTACTCACTCTGGCTGACGGCTGCTGCAAGAAGCATGCAGACACTTAATATTGTCTGCTGCAGGTCGCTCGTCCTCGTCCTCCCCTCAGAGCAGCCGCCGTAAGATCAAACTTTGTCACAAGTCCGTTAGTTAAAAATAGTGAAGTACTGAAGTTAGCTAACTAAACCAGGTGACATTATGATGCGTTCAAGGTCGGCTCGGTAAAATGACAGTAAGGTAATTAAACGGCATCATGATGTATGAACATGTAACGTCAAGAAACAGAAAATGTAGGTTCTGGCGAGAAGCTTGAAGATAGATAGATCGATACTTTATTGATCTCGAGAGAAATTCAAAGCATCCAGTAGCAGGTTACAAAGACATGACATGAAACATTTGTTACAAATTAACCACAAACCGACGCTCAAACTTAAACTGTGCAATTAAAAATAGACTTATACGAGAAGTGTACATAACCTGTGCAGGGATAAAAAAATATGTGAGATTTAAACAAGAACCTAGAAACAGTTGAGGAAAAAAACATGTAATTAGAATTAATTAATCTGTAATTAATGAAAAATTAAGTTTGATTGGAGGAGAAACTCTCATCTTTCCACCAAATAATAAAAAGTATTGATAAGGACGAAGATCAGAAATCTGCCGGCACAAGTTTCTTTTGCACATACAAATTGATAAATGGACTTGAGCTTGTGTAGCGCGTTTCTTGTCTTCTGACTCCTCAAAGCTCTTTTACACCGCAGGTCACACCTACACATTCACACCTACACATTCACACACTGATGGTAGAGGCTGCTGAGTAAAGAGTCCATCAGAAGTAACTAATCCCATTCATACCCCGCTGACGAAGCAGTGGGAGCAACTTGGGGTTGAGTGTTATGCTCAAGGTCACAGCAGACATGAAGCTGCAGGAGCTGGGGATCGAACCCCCGACCTTACTGTTGACATCCACAGCCGCCCCAGCTGAAGAAAACATTTCTTGTAATTATTTTTGTTCTGACCATTTAAAGGCTAAAGGGCCAAAGCAGCCGTTAATGCACGTTATTTAAACTCCAGAGTACCTGGAAGGATGAATAAACTTTTGTTCCTTCACTCAGGAATCCACAAATAAACATGTAGATCTTTATATAGGGTGACACGCCCGCCACAGACTTGTATCTGCTAAATATTGTGCAAATATCTATATCTATTAAATATCTGCTGTGCAGCTTTTAGAGTAACTTTAACCTTTTTTTCTGTGTAGCCTTGAGCTCATATCAGGCTGTCCAAATTTACAACTTTCACCTTAGTGGAGCGCACCGGAGCCTGTTTATCGACGTTGTTTGCAGTTTCCTCACAGAGCCGGAGCACTGACCTCCTTTTCCTCCCCCGCTGGTTTCTACCAGGAGTCAGAATCCACCTGACCCACATTAATGATGAAATAACCATACGATGAAAGAGCAGGCGACAGGGATCACCTCAGGTTTTTTACCTTGAGATGTTTGGAGGATCAGCGTCTTAATGTTGCTGCATTTTTGTATAAAAAAGTTTTATACAAATAAAGTTTGATCCTTTGTTTGTGAAATGTTGAATTGACGATGTTTGATGTTAACGTCATAATTTTTTTTAACTTTACAGTCGAGTGACTTCAGTGATATCACAAACTGGCCCACACCTGGGGAACTGGCCAAAGAGGTACGACAACTCAGTGTGTGTGTGTCCGATGTGTGTGTGTGTGTGTGTGTGTGACACGTTTTTGCTACAACAAACATACAAACAGTGCTGGAAAATTACAAAGTTCTCTGATGTACCTGCGTTTTCTCTCTCTCTCAAAATGCGCTGCATAGCTTCCTGGTCTCGGAGTCATGTGACATTTAAATAAAACTTAATCGACAGGACGAACATAACAGACAAATAACAAACACTTTGACTAAATAAATGTCTGAATGAACAGTATAACAAACATTTATAAGATATATTCAACTTCATTAATCTTCATGGCAACTTGTTTGGACTCGACAGCGTTAGCTACAAATTGGTTTGTTGTTTTAAATACTGAAAAATTGTCAGAAATGTTTTAATGGTTTCTCAGAGCCTGAGGGAAACTGCTTAATCAACCGTCCAAACTTAATTTACAAATTAATTCAGATTTATTGTTTATATTATTTAGAGTATTTGAAGCAGGGTGCAGGTAACCTAGTGGTTAGTGCGTGCTTCCTATGTATGGAGGCTTTGGTCCTCCAAGCGGATCTGTGGCTCCTTTCCCGCATGTCATTCCCCTCTTTCTCTCTCCCTGATTTTTGGCTTTTTCCACTTTCATATCTCTAAATAAAGTCATAAAAGGGCAGAAATAAACTTAAAAAATCTAAAAGTATTTGCAGCAAATCTTGATAAAAATATGTAAAAAATGAATTAATTTAACCTTTAAAGAGTCTGTTGATCAACTCTTTCTTTCTGTAAATCAACATTTTTTAATCTTTTGTGCAGAAATCTTGATATGTTGCAGTATTTATTGTGTCAACTGAATTTAAAGTAAATGGCGCCGCAAAAAGTAGCGGAGAAAACTAGAAATATGACTACCTCGATACAGTGATGGTGTAAATCCTCTAGTTAGAGTTACACAGTTAAAGGAGGGACAGGTCGGACTTAAACCCGGGTCGTCCAGCTTGGAGGTGTAAAGCCTCCGTACATGAGACATGATTTAATTAGTCTCATAGCGAGAGTTTATTCTCCGACTCAAATTCCAACCCAAACTCAGGAAAAAAGAGGTGCAACAGCCAAATGCAACCAAATTCACAAAGAGAAATGTGTGAGAATAAAAAAGGCCTCGTCATGAGTCATCGACCTCTGCGAGTACGACCTGAAACGACCCTTTTTTTTTTTTTCAGCAGCAACAAAATGTCCTCAACAACAACGAGAAGAAGCCCCCTTCCTCACGCAGAGAGAAGGAGAAGAGGAGGGAGCGACCCGACAGGAAGTCCGAGAGCAGCCACGACGGCGGCGAGAGCAAAGAGAACCAGGAGGCTCAGACGGACCCGCTGGGAGAGCTGCCCAAAGACGGAGACTCCAAGACGGGACAGGACGCCAAGAGCGCCGCGCTGAAGAAGAGGGGAGGAGAGGGTGAGTTTGTCTTTTAAGCACGTTAAGAAACACTAAATGGTTTGATTGATGCACACACGTCGTCATGGAAACCAGGTACAACAACATTCATGACTTTTCTAGCTATTTGCTACTTTTAACCAAATTAAGAAATGTAATCGGACAGAGGTAGCATGTTAATGATCGTAGTGTTTGATTGCTGCTTGGTGTAGATGGTGCATGCTCTTCTCCTGATTCATGCTGATCTTTACCTTATTTAAATGAGAAGTAGCAGGCGCAGACTCCTTGTGGAGGAGAGTAAAAAGACACAATACTTGATGAACTCTGAGAGTCTAAAGTGGAGAGGAAATGAAGAGTTTTGTTCCTAATCCGTCGAGATCGCCGGCTAAAGTTTCCTCTTAAACGCGCAGAGTGTAAACACCGCCGCCAAAGGGATCTCAATCAAAGCAATAACTTTAAAAAAAATGACGCCAAGGCTGGCAAGGTTGACTGTAGTCATGACGACCGGGCAAAACAGGCCTGAGGAAGAGAATATCTTTACAGACTAGTTAATGTATCGTAATGTGTAGTTTTTATCACAGCAGCACATACAGCAACAGCACGGCAGCTGACGTAACATCTGGTGTTTCCACGGCAACGGTACGCATGTCTTGTCTGCCACGGCAGCCGCCTCGACAAGACACGTCCCTTTACCACTATAAAATAATAGATTTCTCTGGCTTTGATAACAGTTGGAAATATTTGAGGTAATGTAAGAACCCAACAAACAAAAATATAACTTAGTTTAATCAATTTTGAATAAATTAAGATTTAAAATGATTTAAAAGCATGAATTTAAAACCTGTTTGAATAATGAACAGTGTGAATGCAGTGAAATGTAAACATTGATGGTCAAACTTCAGATCTTCAGACATTTTTATTCAAAAGCTGCCGAGAGCGAAAGAAAGAGAGCACTGTCTAAATGACACAAACACGCTGACTGAAACTTTGCCAACATATTTGTGTAATTTAGACGGCTTGCAGGAGTTTGCTCGCTATGCTTGGTATTTAAAAACAAGAAATTATCCAGTATCGGGTGCCAAGGGCGCTTATTTTTGCCGCTGTGGTATCGATATAAATATTTAAAATTAGGTATAATGACAACTAGTGTTGGAGTCAAGACCACAATAACCGAGACCGATTCAAGACCAAGACATTTAGGGATCCAGACCGAGTCAAGACCAAGACATTTAGGGATCCAGACGAGTCAAGACCGAGACATTTAGGGATCCAGACCGATTCAAGACCAAGACATTTAGGGATCCAGACCGATTCAAGACCGAGACATTTAGGGATCCAGACAGAGTCAAGACCAAGACATTTAGGGATCCAGACCGAGTCAAGACCAAGACATTTAGGGATCCAGACCGAGACAAGACCGAGACATTTAGGGATCCAGACCGAGTCAAGACCGAGACATTTAGGGATCCAGACCGAGTCAAGACCAGACATTTAGGGATCCAGACCGAGTCAAGACCGAGACATTTAGGGATCCAGACCGAGTCAAGACCAAGACATTTAGGGATCCAGGAGTCAAGACCGAGACATTTAGGGATCCAGACCGAGTCAAGACCAAGACATTTAGGGATCCAGACCGAGTCAAGACCGAGACATTTAGGGATCCAGACCGAGTCAAGACCGAGACATTTAGGGATCCAGACCGAGTCAAGACCAAGACATTTAGGGATCCAGAGCGAGTCAAGACCAAGACATTTAGGGATCCAGACCGAGTCAAGACCGAGACATTTAGGGATCCAGACCGAGTCAAGACCGAGACATTTAGGGATCCAGACCGAGTCAAGACCAAGACATTTAGGGATCCAGACCGAGTCAAGACCGAGACATTTAGGGATCCAGACCGAGTCAAGACCAAGACATTTAGGGATCCAGACAGAGTCAAGACCAAGACATTTAGGGATCCAGACCGAGTCAAGACCAAGACATTTAGGGATCCAGACCGAGTCAAGACCGAGACATTTAGGGATCCAGACCGAGACAAGACCAAGACATTTAAGGATCCAGAGCGAGTCAAGAGGCATCTGTGAGATTTATCACCAATGCTCACTGGGTTTCAAAAATCATTCTGTCAACGTGAAGTCGGAAACATGTCGTGACTCAGCCAGGTTGTTCCTCGTTCTCGTTCTTCTCAGCCCCCCCAAAAAAGCGAGATTGATTGTGGACGAGTCGGGCTCATGAGCCGCACCTTGAAACGACATGTTTCTGAGGTTGGGGGTTGAATATTTATCTTTTTGAAGGTTTTGAATTACCTGTCTCTTACCTTTTTTTTGTAGCACGTGTAGCGCCATCGCATTACAGCTCATGGAGGTTTTGTTTAAAACCTCTTAAGTCCTTAATTATCAGCGACACTTTGAAAGTCAGGGAAAGATTTTTAGACACAATTTTGCTGAATTTCAGTCGACATTCTACTTTGTTAAAACCTAAAGTTCATTCGTTTTTGTTTTATTTATTTTTTTGGAACGAAACTCTTCACGCTCTGTTTTCCGGTGTTGTAATCATCGATAGGTAACAAACGTAAGTGGGTTTCTCTGCCGCTGGAGGAAGCGTCCCGGGACGACGGTGACAAGACGCCCGGCGGGGGGCCGGCACGCTCGGACACAGATCCCACCAGCGACTCGCCTGACCCCACGTCGCCCAATCACACACTCCATAATAACAGGGCGCATGATAGCAGCAGCAGCAGGAGTAAGTTCTTTGTTCACACTTTTTTAGTCTCCTTTCTTTTTTTCTTTCCGTGCTGCGTTTGCTTCACTGTTTGAACTCCTCGGCTTGTTTGCTCTCTGCAGTCCGTCTCCCTGCAAGCTTTTTCTTTTCCAACATGAGAATGCACAATACAGAATGAATGCATGGCAAGGCTTTATTTCATATATTACACAACAGATAGTTACCACCAAGCAATCTGATTGGACAGGAGGCGTTCCATGATAGGGGACAACATCATCAGTGGGGCTTTTCACAAGATGTATCACTCCGCCTCAGCCAGCAGGAGCTCAAAATACTTTTTGTACCCGGTAACATTTCCTCCATTTCAGGAGTGGTGAATCAAAATGAAAAGGATTTAAAATGGGAGGCTACTTAATCTCAGGGTTCAGAGACGCAGCAGGAATCACAACTTTCAGGCAGAAAGACTTAAATATTAATCTGTGGCCTCCTCCTTTTTTCTTTTTTTCTTCTTTTTTTTTTTTTTTTACAGTTCCTGACATATTTTATTTATAATCTGAGCGATAGAGTAATGCTCCTTACTTTTATTAAATGAGACAGCTTGATGATGTTATTTTTTTTAATTTTTGCTCTTGCCAACAGGTTGGAGAAGAGAGCCGCGGGACTTTGGGGACGATACCGGCAGCGTCCGGAGTGAGAGCGGGAGCGTTCGAGGAGGAATACGGGGCCGGGGGAAAGGTCGTGGGCGCGGGAGAGGTCGTGGACGCGGTATGGTTTTTCACTTCAACACCACCCTCTGACTAAACCTCCACTTTTATAGTATTTGTCCTTAATTCATTTAAAAAATGTATCTTGTTTAATCTGCTGTTTGTCGACATTTCTCATGTTTTCTGTTGACTGTTTTTTCCTTCCAGGCCGTTATGAATACTCTCAGAGCTTCCGGGACTCTCAGTCGTCAGACGGCGGCGTTCAGGGTTCCTCAGAGTTTGGCAGCAACATGGTGTATTACTACGACGACGGCAGCAAGGTCCAGATGTACACAGTGGATGAAAAGCTCCTGAAGGAGTACATCAAACGACAAATGTGAGTGATTTATTTCTGAATTCAAACTTAATGTGGACTCAGAGTCGGGTAAAGGACAAGAAACATGAAATAAAAAACAGACGAGAATAAATGTTGAAAAGAGAACACGTCTGGCAGTAGAAGAACATTTTACTGTATTTATTTTATGTATTTTTTGATCTATAGCGAGTTCCCTTTTCTGTAGTTTAGTTAATTTTGTAACCTTCGATCTACTGGAAATTCCTTATTTCATTTCAAAATAAAAGCAGGTTTTTTATCCAAACAGGAAGTAAAGTACCCTCAAAGTACAGAAACTCAAAATAAAAGCTTAATGACAAATAATGTAATTTCACAACGAGCGATTCCAAATTTGACTTATCACGATCAGCTTTTAAATTAAACGATTAACCAGAATTTCAGTATTTATAGTTTTCCATCATTTTGATACATTTTTACCATAATCTTTCAAATTTACGTCATGGTATATTTTTGTTTATGACCGTCTGGGCAACTTAACACTTTAGTATCCCTCTGAAAAAAAAAAAAAAGTCAGGTATCACCGATTAGTCTGGAAAACATCTGTATGTTTTGGATTTTACAGTTTGTTCATCAAGGTGGAAAAACAGAATCTTTTAGAAAGTGTGTGCCGGGCCGAGGGTGGAGCAATTGAAGATGTTTGCATGTCGGGTGAGGTAACACGTACTCTATTTTAGGAATTTAGGAAAGTTATTTGAATATTAGTGAAGGGTGAAGTATTCAAATATTATAAAATGGACTTAATAAACTTAATTGCAGCAACAAAGTCATCAGAAGGCTTAAAAATAAACAAAAACAGGAGCCTTAAAACAAACCTTTCAAACATTTTTCAAGCCGTAATCGCCTCTAAAGAAGAGATTTTAATGATTTATCTCTCTCCTCAAATCCCCTAAATTGATCTGTTAAGATTAATTTAACAAAAGTGACTTTAATAGCATCAAACACAATCCTCTTAAAGCCACTTTTTAGTTACTACCTTCACAAAAATTGTGATAATAATTGGCCAAAAGTGAAACCTCGACCTGACTAACTCTTACATAAAGCGTCTGCACTTTATCAGTGTCTTGGAAAAGAAACGCGGCTGAAAAGGTCAAGGTGGGGAAAAAAAAGTTAAGTTTTAACCACCAGCTTAAAGTCGAACAGGTGAAGGTTGTAACTGTGCAGATTACAGGTGTGAAGAGTGAACAGAGCATGTGCAGTGTGGTCAGTGAAGCTCCCCTGGGGTTTTTTGTGTGTGTGTCCTGCAGGGGGCAGCGTTCGCTCTGCGTCTCGCTGACAGCTTTGGCCTCATTGCAGCAGCAGACTCAGAATAGTGGATTGGTGAGGTGGACTCCTAAATATAGCCTGAGTGCCTTGGAGGGGACAGAGGATGAATTATTATGTGCAGGCCTGAGCGAGGAAATGTAAAAAAAAGAATAGAAAAAAAGAAAGTGTTTCATGGGGGAGGGGTGAGAGAGAAGAGGAGACAGTAAGAGAAGAGGAGGAGGAGGAGGAGGAGGGGGCATTCTTGTCTTCTCCTCTCTCGTCTCCCTCAGCGTTATTCAGGCTGCTCACTCAGCCAGCGTTACTCCACATGAAGCGACGACTCCACACCGCCTGCAGGCTGAGCTCCATGTTCAGACGTGTGTGTGTGTGTGTCTGTGCGTCCATGAGTGTGTGTGTGTTTTATTTTTGTGGTATGGTGACTTTTAAGTGGTGTGACAAGTGGGGACGGAGAGCTTTTCCTCCTGCAGATTTGGTATTTGGTGCCCCAGTCAGTCTTCATCTATTGAGGAGAGTAAAGAAGCTTTATAAACTTCAGGAAGCTTTATGACTGGTGAATAAATGTAGTTACAGTACATCGGCACACATCTGGGATAAAATAAGCTGATAGTCACTGTATCGGTCCGGTCTGTTGGGCTCTTTTAAAATTACACACGTTGTCCAGGTCCATGTTGAAACACAATAAGGAACAGTGAGTGTGCACACCAACAGCCGGTGTAAATGAACACATTAAAAGATGTTGATGCACTGATTGATCACTTTGTTCCCCCTCCAGTGAGTACTACTTCAGCCTCCACAACCTGGAGCGAGACTTCTTCCTGAGGAGAAAAATGGACGTGCAGGGCTTCCTCCCCATCTCCCTTATCGCCAGCTTCCACAGGGTGCAGGCTCTGACCACCGACATCGCCCTCATCGTCGAGGTAAAAAAAAAAAACCTTCAATAAGGTCAGAGATGCAGCTGATACGAGGCTCCTCACTCAGATTTGATCTGAGGATAACTGGCAGTTTTACCGGAGTATCTGCTTCCAACTTCCAATCCTATTATGAAAATAAAATGTTGAGAAGACGGTTGTAAGAAAAAAAAGTATGGTTATTGCTTTTAATGGTTTTGGAAACAGATTTGCTAGATTTTATTTATCTATTTAGGGACGGCAGTATCTCAGTGTGTAGGGACTTGGGTTGGGAACTGAAGAGTAGCCATTTCAGACCAAAGTATGGGAGTTGATCTGGTAGTTGGAGAAGTGCCAGGCCACTTCCTGGTTGCTGCCAAAGTGACCTTGAGTAAGGCAAGGAAGCCCCAACAGCTCAGGAGCGCCCCTGTAAAGCATCCCCCCCCCTCACACTTACATCTCTCCTTTTAAAGCATGTCCACAAGTCCTGTCTTTAATAATGTCCTCCTTCTCCTTCTCCAGGCTCTGAAGAGCAGCAAAGAGGTCGAGCTGGTGGACGACAAGATCCGCTGTAAATCCGACCCCGAGCGCTGGCCGATCCCCACCCCGGCCATCGTCGGCTCCCCTCGGACCGACTTCTCACAACTCATCAACTGCCCCGAGTTCGTTCCTCGTCAGTCCCTCAGCTCCACAAACTCTGGTCAGTATTTAACCGCTTCGTTTTTTGTTTTTTTCTCAGACAAAAGTTCAAATTAATGGAGACTTCTTGTGTTTTTTCTTTTTTTTTTACTGTCATGAGAAGATCAAACAGAACAATTAGCTTACTTAGAAATATTGTGCATGTGAGCCCAATGCCTTGAATGCTATCTTAAACACAAAAACTAAAAATCAGAATCAGCTTTATTGGCCAGGTATGCTTAAACACACAAGGAATTTTACTTTGGTAAACTGTGCTCTCTGAGTACAAAGGTATAATATGAAATATCAACAATAAACACAAAAATAAACAAATAAGCAAAGACTAATATGTACAAGGCTAAATAGGATAATATAAGATAATAGTGCAGTGGTGAGTAGTGCAAAGAGAGCAGTAGATGTGGATTCATCTACAGCTAAAAATAGCCCTAAACAAAAACACTGAAGCATGTAATAAAATTATAATTACCAGCTGTTACAGGAGATCATTCAGGCTTTTATTTAGGGGGAAAGTTTAATTATAGGGCATCAGTAAAAAAATGTAGCTATCCAAAATGCTTTACACAGTTTTAAAAGAGCATGAAGAAGAAAATGAAAAAAAGACATTAAGACACAAGACATTGAAAATAAACACACGATCATGTCTTCAGTTAATGAAAACGGTCGACTAAGTTGAAGGGTCAGATGCAGGGCTGCAGTTTCACCTCTGTGGCTGAATGAGAGCCGACAGAGCGGCGAGTGATTTCAAAGCCGTGTTGAAGTTTGTCTGAGTGTGACCTGTTCGGCCTTTCAGCTTCCTCGCCCGTGGAGAAGACTCCTCCTGACTCTGCTGAGCCCGAGGACTCCACTGACCCCGGCTCCTCCAGCCAGGAGTCGCTCCCGAGCACAGACGCCTCCAAAGGCGCCCCCCAACCCGACCCCGACGCCTGGATCCAGGTGGAGAAACGCCATCGACAACCCTCCGGAAAAGCAAAGGTACAAAAAAAAAAGAATCCCCCTCTTCGTCCCTTTCATTCATCCTCTATCTTTCTATTCTTTGTCTCCATTTCCTCCATCGTCTTCTGTGTTCACTTTTTCTTTTCCCGCCTGTTCGTCTCTCCTTCCACCTTTCTGCCGACAGCACGACACTGACGATGTGTGTGTAGTCACCTCTCCTCCCCCCTCACCGCTCCGTCCCGACCTCCTCCTCTCTGCAGTTGAGTACTTTCTGCTCTCACTTGATTTCTTCTCTCATCTTTTATTAACTGTCTGAACTCCAACTTTTCTCATCCAACTCTCACATTTTTTGATGCTTTATTTTATCAATCCATCCCGAAAGTTTGATCGATCTTCTCGGTGTTCCTTTGACAAATTGTTCCTCGTTGATTGTGTCCTCCAGGAGCGGTCTGAGGCGTCTCCACACAGCCACCAGACCCCCACTAAGGCCGAGCCCGACCAGGAGGAGCTGGACTTCTTGTTCGACGAAGAAATGGAGCAGCTGGCGCCAAGGAAGAACAAGTTCACCGACTGGTCGGACGAGGACGACTCGGACTACGAGATGGACGACCAGGACGTCAACAAGATCCTGATCGTCACCCAGACGCCCCCTTACATCCGTAAGCACCCCAGTGGTGACCGGACGGGAAACCACGAGTCCAGAGCCAAGCTTACAACCGACCTGGCCAAAGCCATCAACGACGGGCTGTACTACTACGAACAGGACCTGTGGAAGGAAGAGGACCAGATCGAGTGCAGCAAGGTAAGAAAGTAACACAGAGAAAAGTGTCAGAAATTCAAAAAGATTTTATTTTTCTACAAAGTCATCATGGATTAGAAAGATAAGATAATCCTTTATTTATCCCACAACGGGGAAATTTACAGTGTTACAGCAGCAAAGATTACAAACAAAAAGTGAACACAGTACACATTTTAAATAAAAAAAATAGAATTACAAATGTACAAAAAATAGATAGCTAATCTATTTTTTTAAATCTATATTGTGGTTTCTGAGAGCTGTAGTTTTGATAAAAATCAAAGCCATCTGGGCAGAAAATGACTTTTGTATTTTGTTCCTACAGAGGAAATGTGTTTGAATCTTTATTAAATATCTCCTTCATGAGTGTCCTGGCTGAGACGGGCAGCAGCACAATTTACAGAGTTTCACTAAAAAACAACGAGCAGCCACACATGCCGATCCCCTTCACATGTGGGAGAACATCTACAGCCAGATGTGTCCGCCTCCAAGTCATTTAACATCCTCTTAAAAGCATCCAGTGTGGGGCCGCTGGTGGCACAGTGGTTAGTAGTCTTCCAAGCAGGCGGCCCAGGTTCAAATCCGACCTGTGGCTCCTTTCCCTCCTGTCATTCCCCACTTTCTCCCTCTCCCTGATCTCTGACTCTATCCACTGTCCTATCTCTACAATAAAGGCCCAAAACGCCCAAAAATAAATCTCTGTGGCTCCTTTCCTGCATGTCGTTCCTCTCTCTCTCTCTCTCTCTCTCTCTCTCTCTCTCTCTCTCTCTCTCTCTCTCTCTCTCTCTCTCTCTCTCTCTCTCTCTCTCTCTCTCTCTCCCCAGTTTCTGACTTCTGACTCTTAAAAACCAGATTTTATGATACTCAATCAAATCTGAATATTTTACCTTTAATCCAGTCGGTAGAGAATATTCTTCGTGAGATTGACAGTTAATTTAAAACTCACTTTTCTCAGGAACTAAACATGTTTGAGCAGGTACGTCACGGAGAAGTGAATTTACATTTTCACCTCGTCATGTCTGAACAAGAAGCTCCTCATTCATACTGAAGGAAGTCTTCAAGTTTCAGTTTAAATTCAACCGTTTTCTGTCGTCTTTTTAACACTTGGATCTGGAATTATACGTTTTTAAAACACACTTTTGTTTAGAATTTAGCATCAAATTTAAGAGCATACCAAAGTGTTTAATATGTTTTAAATAATGCTTAATTAGTTTTTCAAAAAGAACAAATAAATGATTTTGCTTCGGGGTCAGAATTAAGATGGAGGCGTATGATCGTTGGAGAGAAAATGAAGGAGATCTTGTGATGCCGTCGGTTAACTCTATTGTTGTGTTTCTTCGGCCTCTGGAAAGCGTGATTCACTTCCTGTTATTGAATTGGCTCCCCTGTTTGTAAAGCCCCTGAATGCTTCTAACATTTTACAGTTACAGTCACAGTCACTGTGCCAGTGGGTCAACAGAGCGACTACGTCTAAAGTTAGACACAGAAACCCTGAACATAAACAGCCGGATACAAATACACACCGCACGCTGACGTACAGGAGTAACTTCATATTTAATACATGATGTTCTTCATTCCTACTGTACGGGTTTAGACTGCGACATTCTTAAAATCTCCATCCTGAATTTTATGACTGTAGCTTCTGATGCAACAACTCTGCAAAGTCCTTGTGCTGCTGCTTTAGGGAAAGAAACGATTGAATCATCTTCAGTTGCAGTGAAGTTTTCTACTTTTTAGAGTCTATAGCTGCAGCTTATGTTGATGTTTTTTGCGGCCTTTTTGCCTTCATTAGATTTGACAGCTGAAGAGAGACAGGATATGTTGGTAGGAGAGAGTGGTGGGGGGGGGGTGACATGCAGCAAAGGGCAGAGGTCAGATTTGAACCCACAGCCACTGCGACGAGGACTACAGCCTCTGTACATGCTGCATAACCGCTAAAGGCTATCGGCGCTCCACAGCTGTTTAACATGAGGCCTTGCACACCGTCAGGAATTGCCTCGAGTTTAAAAAGGAAATTTGATCTCATGACGTGTCAATCATGTTTGCACTCTGACTCTGAATCCTTCGCCTGATATAATTAAGGTTTAATTTACTGCATTTTTTTTCACAACTGTCCAAATTGTTAAGAGGTCATTCGACTGTTCAGAGTGTGTTTGTGTGTCGACTTCAAACATATCACCAGCCGCTGCTCAGCATCAATAGCTTTGCAGAAAATGGAGGTCCCTCCCTCGAAATGTGTTTTCCCAGTATAGCTACCAACGTATCAAACTGGACCAATGATGTCCTGAAATACACCTGGAAGGCATCGGGATTATTCTGTTTTAATTCAATTCAAAAAACTTTATTTGCCAACAGGGGGTAATTCAAAAATACATAGCGTAGAAGCATGAAAAAAAACAAAACAGGAGCAGCAAAGACCCTGCAAGGAAGAATACAAATATAGAAAATAAATGTTAAAAATAAAAATAATGATCACATTAAAATGACTAATTCTGCAGCTCCTTTATCACCATAATTGCAATTAATGGAAAATTAAACAAAAGTTCAACAGTGCAAATTTTAGAAAATCTATTTGTAACAAATAAACTTCATCCATACATAACGTTTGGCTCAAACGTACTCAGACTTTAAAGACAAACGCACAATGTGCTTTTAACGTTTTTAAATTGATACTGGATCCTCCAGCTGTAATTCCTCAATGTGCGGTCTTAAATAAAGAAGCTGGCTGTCGTGGCGAGGGACTTGACATTTAATCCTGAGTCTGAAAAATAGGTCAGACCGCTTCTTGACTGTTGAACTCGGCGAGCGCCCAACATTTACTCCTCGTCTGTAGACACAATCATAAAGAAAGAGGCTTTTTCAGAAGGATATGTTTAAAAGTTGCACCGTTTTTTTCCTACACTTTGAGGGATTCAGAAGCAGCACCTCCGACGCTCTGAGCACTTTGACATGAAGATGTTTTGACAGAGGTGTTAAGTCTCAAACTGTAAAGCGGGACATAAATAGCGGACTATTTATCACCTACTATACGAGCCTCCAGGTTTACATGTGTGTCTCACAGCTGCCGCCAGAGACGAGTGTGACCTGCTTTTTGGGAAAGCTGCCTCGTCTGCAGAAACAAGTGTGAACAGTAGAAGTACTGACGACAGGTTACACCGCATTATGTCATCGAATTACAGAAGAACGCATTAAACTCTATGGCTTCGGACCGGTTACAGCGTTGTGTTTAATGTCAGTAAAGGGCTGTTACCCTACATTAGTTTCTCACCACAAACTGGATAAAATGATGAACACTAACACTCGGCCCCGACAACAAAATAACGCTAAACTTAAAAGCTCTTCTCCTCAAAAACAAGACCTCTATCAAAGTTAAAGCAGCACGATGAGGCGTCTGGAGACAGGTCAGACGTGTGTGACCTTTGACCTACAACACTCTGACCAACGAGCGTCACACTCTGACACATCAACGCTGTCGCATCACCGACGTCCAAAACTCATAGCTGATAATAAAAATACTCTAACCCTTAGATAAAGTTTGATTTGAACGTGTGGCTTTATATTTATGGCACCATAAAAAACACACAAACAAAGAATATCAGCATGAAAGTATTACAGTAAAATAAGCTGTATAAGACGTTCTTTAAAAATCTGATTTTTCCTCTAAAAAGTGAGGTGCAGGGGCGCTGGTAGCCTAGTGGGTGAGTGTGTGCGTCTCATGAGTGGAGGATTAAGCTCTCACAAGCAGGTGACCTGGGTTTGAATCCGACCTGTGGCTCCTTTCCCGCATATCATTCCCCTCTCTCTCTTTGTCTTTCTCTCCCTGATTTCTGACTCTATCCACTGTCGTATCTCTAAAATAAAAAGGTTGTTGCATCCTTTACACTTTTGGGGCGGCTTTGGCTCAGTTGGTAGAGTCGGTCGACTCCTAACCGGAAGGTCGGGGGTTTGATCCCCAGCTCCTGCAGCTACATGTCCGATGCATCCTTGGGCAAAACACTTAACCCCGAGTTACTCCGCAGCTTCGTCTGTGGTATATAAATGCTGAGACATGCAGCATCATGACCCCAAGTGCAGTCAGCCGCCAGCATCACCCACTGCATGCATATATAGCGGCTTGTGACAGCCCTGCACTAATAATATCAAGTACATACGGGCATATTGGTGACAGATACTCATTTTAGTGCTTGAACATACAGGTAAAAAACAACAATAACAGTTTGGCTCTGTGGTTAATGTGGCCCGGGTTCCAATCCGACCTGTGGCTCCTTTCCTGCATGTCGTTCCCCACTCTCTCTCCCTGATTTCCAACTCTACCCCCTTTCCTATCTCTCCTAATAAAGGCACAAAAATCCCCAACTTACATGTTAAAAAGACAAAAACAAAACAGTAATTTGAACAATCTGGCAAAATTAGACTCAGGTAGGGAAGAGAAGAAAAGAAAAAGCAATCAACAACAACAACAACAACAACAACAACAACAACAGACAACAACAGGGCATAAAGTACAGCGGGTTGATTCCTCCCCTACACAAACAGAAGGTGGAGGGGGCGTTCCCCACTCTCTCTCTCTCTCTCGCTCTCTCTCTCTCTCTCTCTCTCTCTCTCTCTCTCTCTCTCCCTGAGTTCTGACTCATCCACAGTCCTATATCTAAAATAAACCTTCAAAGAAAAGGTACGCACAACAGCATTGTTACAATTTCAACTAAATATGAATCAGATCCTTTAAAAGTACGACTTATCCCTCTGATAAGAAATGAGGACAGAATGTCTTAAAGAATACAAATAAAGTGTTTAAAAACTGTTATCAGAACAGGAGTAAATATCAGTCAGACTGCTAAATTATGAATTGTGTCAAAGTTTTGGTTCAAGGTGTTTGAAGGCTCGCTCCGCTCCTGTCTTTGCCGACGTGTGTTTTCAGCTCGGTCAGCGTGTTCTTGGTTCAAAGGTTGTCAATAACGTTTCCACATGTGGGAAATGTCACGCCTGAACACACACACACACATAACCACACATGCACACACCAAGGTCACCTGGATTTCTTTCTGACGCTGACGTGTTCAAGTTCAAAGTACGCTGCACATCTGCTGTGTGTCACACAGGCCGCCGTGGCTGCAGCCGCTGGCACGTCGAGTTTTATTTACACCATGTCACCTCTGTGTTATCAGTTTAGACAGCCCGAGAGGCCGCGGCGTTAAAAAGTCTCAGACGTAAACTCAGCCTAGGAACACTTTAAGATGTATTATTTTATCTTACTGCTGAAGTCTTCTTCACAGAATCGTAGAGAAAGCCGATTTGAAGTTATAAATTAAACTGAAATATTGATTGTCTTGGAGTTTCATCATTTGCGAGCGATCGTCAGCGACAAAATCACCTTGATTTTACTGTTAACTATTTGAGTTTCCGAATAGCCTGCGAGCAACACGTCGCATCGTTTTTACCTTGATGCAACATGTTGCGTAGACATGGACGAGGACGGAGGAAAGAGGCGGCTTTACAAGGTGGTTGCACTCGCTTGTCTCCCTAAAAAGAGCTCGTTAGCTTGTTTTACAAAGTGGAGATGGTGGGGCATTAATAATATCCACTAACATGATTCAAATGTTGAGCTTTGACTTGTGTCGACACAGAGAAAAATGTTATCCTGCCGCTTGTTAACGAGCCTCTGAGTGTTGTGATTCGAGTCGACAGCTCGTCAAAACAAAGCATCACACTTTGCACCCTTTGTCTACCTTCAAAATAAAAGCACTGGATGTTGTGAATGTTTGCAAGGGGAAAGTGAAATTCACAGAGCAAAGAAGGAAATATTTAACGGATGCAGTTAGGACAGTGCTGTTAAGACATGCAGAAAGAACCCACCTAACATTAAAATAAAACATCTGCGAAGTCTTGACACAAACAAAAGCAGGTATTCAAATAAAGTCTAAGAGCAGGAAGAGAAGGCGATTTACAGTCAGTCGTTTTTTAAACACTGTAACAAACTGCATGTAAATACTGCTGCACTTGATTAACGTCTCTTTAAAAAAAAAAAGAGCGACTGAGAAGTGAGGCGGAAAAACAGTTCCAGATGATTGGACCGCTTAACCCAGCTGAATCTTTCTCCCTGCAGCTGATTTATTTCATTAATTTTTTTAATTTAAGAAACAAAAACAAGCATTTCCTATTCTTCTTTTTTTTTTTCCCCCACCCCCCACCCTCATGCTGCTAATACAAAGTCTATATGTAATGTAGTAACTGTACAGGGATTGATAGCACTATTTAATACAGAATACATCCAAAACATAGCAGAAAATAATGATAATAATAATATTTTTTTATAATAAATAAAAAAAGGAAATTAATTAAAATAAATAAATAAAATAAACGCAAATGAACCTTTCAAGACGAAAAAGAAGAAAAATATATACAGATAAAGATTTAAATATGTAACTGTTAAACACATATGTTATATGTTATAATCACATATAAGTTCATTTACCTGAGATCATATTATTCATATTGTTCTGCTGCTGATTCTAAACTGTGAACGTGTTTCTGTGTTTCTCAGCAGGACGTGGAGAACTTCAAGAAGCTGAACGTGATCAGTAAAGATGAGTTTGAAACTCTCACCCCCAAAGTGCCTGTCGAGCCGAACCAGGAAGCCCCTCCGATTCCCATGTCAGGTGAGACCGCAATGCTTTGAATTTAGACTGCAGTACCCTTTTTAAACACTAGGTGTCAGAGCTACATATTACTCCTTTAATGCTAATGATGTTTTTTTCCCCTGTGTTTTAATAAAGGTTTGGCCTCAGTGGACAGCGGTGCAGAATTGGCACGCTCTCTGCCTACGACGGTCCCAGAGTCACCCAGCTCTCACCAGCCCAGAACACCCAAAACGCCTCGCACCCCCGGACGCCAGGACCCGAACAAGACGCCACGCTTCTACCCTGTCATGAAGGAGAGCGGAAACCTCGATGGGCAGGTGAGTACCGGGTGTAGAGATACTATTCGAACAACCCGAGCAGGGTTCAGATTTTAACATTGCAGTGGTCCTCTTTAGATGTTATGGTCTTGACCAGCAGAGGAGCTATTGATATAGATATGACGACTTGTGGGATAAATAACAGGGTCTTTGGGGTGGCTGTGATCTAGTCAAATCAAGTCTAATTACATTTTCATGATGGGGAGGAAGGTGGACAAGTGGTTAGAATGTGCACCCCCATGTACAGATGCTGTTGTCCTGGAAGCTGGCGTCACTCTTCCACTTTCTCTCCCTGATTTCCGACTCGATCCACTGTCCATCTCTTAACATAAATACCTGATGTTATTTTCTTTATGCATTCCAGTAGTTCATTATTTATTAAGTTTTAAAGTTAAAGACAGAATGGAAAAAAAACAACTTGGTTAAATTTTTCAAATCTGCTGAAGAAAGGTCAGAAGTTGGCATTTCTGATTTTTTCAAAGGTCACAAAGGTCAGCCGGCACAGATGTGTGACTCAGCCTGGTTCGATTTCCCTTTTCTTTCTCTTCCTGTTTATTTCTTTTTCATATTTATTCTCTTTAGAAATAAGCACTTATTGTTTCACTTAAAGTTCATTATGTTCTGTAAAATCTGCTCAGAGATGATGGTCTTAATGAAACTAATTTTACAGCTCACAGTTTGCTGTTTAGAAATGAAGTGATTCCTGGTTTATTCCCTCACTTTAAATTGCTTTAAATATGAACGGTGCTCTTTAAATACACACTAACCTTTCCTTCAGACCTGGTGAAACTTGAGACATTTAAATCAATCACGTTTTGTTTGTGCAGGTCTGGAGAGTTTTGTTAGCGTAATTTGCTTTTTGCAACTAGGATAGGATAGGATAGTACTTTATTGATCCCCAGAGGGGAAATTCGGGCTGTACTAGAACTGTTACGTTTTTACCACAGGTGCTTAAGCTTGAGCTGCAGGTAAACGCTGCCTCCTCTTACCTGTTTTGCATTCGTGTGTTTACTCGGTTGCATTGTTGCAAAAAGCTTCGAACAACATATGCAAATGCTTCTCTGGAAAAAAAAGAAGAAAAAAAAGTGTATTATGGAACATAGAAATCCCAACAATAAAAGAGAAAGTCCCGACAAATCCCTGAAAATAAAAAAAAATGTAGCAATAAAACAAGAAGACATGGAGAGTAAAATAGAAACAACTTTGACGATGATTGATTAAAGGAGACAGTAAAAATAAATAAAACATAAAGGTTTCAAGAGTTTCAAAGCAAACTGAACTGGACTTAAATCCCATTGATGAAGTTTTTTGAGCTAAATGGTGATAGATGTCCTGTTCATGAATTAATCTGGTGGTGTGTTGTTTTTGTTTTTTGTCTTTCCAGACGCCGAGGAAGAAGAAAACCAGCCATAGTTCAAACCCTCCTCAGGAAGCCCACATCGGCTGGGTGATGGACTCCCGCGAACACCGGCCGCGCTCTGCCTCCATCAGGTCTGACCGCTCGCTTTTAGTAAAGACTAAAAACAGAAACAGAGGCTGCATGTTTTCATTTTTTAAACAGGGAAAGCAGTAGAAGAACATAAAATGATTATTTCCATTTTTCCCTCTGTTCTCCGTCCATTCTTCCTTGGTTGTGGTCGGTCGAGTTGACCTGTATCCACTTCTCTTTTTGAACTCACTTTTTAAAAAGATCGACTGACTGAAGTTTATTAATGGCCAAGTGGTGTTAAATACAAATCTTCTGATTGAGTTCTTTCACACCTGTACAGTTAGGTGGACAGCTTTTTAGGGCCTGTGTCCAATAAAGCGCTGGCAGCACACATGACCTCCGTTTCAGAGTGCTTCTCACCTGCGCTTGTTGTTGCTAGGTTACAAAGCTGCTTCAGTTTTTAAAGCTCTGTGTGATTTTAAATTTGAAAATCTGATCAAAGAAAATGTGAAATCAATGTAGAGGAATCCTGTCCTGGCATTAGCAGCAGCTTTAGACCTGGAAATTGTTCCCTGAAAGCCCCGGTGCGGGATAGGCTAGTGGTTATGTCGCACGCCCCATGTACAGAGGCTATAGTCCTCGTCGCAGCAGCAGTGGGTTCGAGTCCGACCTCCGCCCTTTGCTGCATGTTTCTCCTCATAACATTTCCTGTCTCTCTTCAGTTGTCCTATCCAATAAAGATGAAAAGACCCAAAAAAAGGAGTTAAAAATATGAAACAATCCAAATTCTTAAAACAAGAAAAAAAAAAAAGGATGTCCGCCCCCTCTTGATTTCTATTGGTCAGTAAGGGGAATCGACATTGACGAGCGTGGCAGTGTTTCAAGAGAGCGCTGACAGTGCAGTGACAAAAAAAAAAAAAAACAGCTGATGCCGAGGGCGTCTTCATGTTGAAAACGGGCGCAAACACACCCTAACCCTAACCCTTATCACAAACTGTTTAGTGTGAACCATCGATAAAAAAAAGTTGTTCCCTTGACAAAATGTCCAAGATAATCAAATTGAAAGTAACTTTATTTGCATAAAACCTTTGTAAAAAAACATCCTCCTCCTTCCTCCTGCAGCAGCTCCAACGCCTCCCCATCAGAAGGAGCCCCGCTGACAGGAAGTTACGGCTGCACCCCCCAGTCTCTGCCCAAATTCTGGCATCCCTCCCACGAGCTGCTGAGAGACAACGGCTTCACTCAGCAGGGATACCACAAGTACCGCCGACGGTGCCTGAACGGTACGCATGATCTCAACTTCTCCTTGAAGCATGAAAAAAAAAAAACAAGCTGATGTCATTTTGTTGACCTGAGATTGAGGTCGAGGCTTCACATGTAGATAGTTCTTTCTTCTGCCCGGGACTGAATCTGTTTTCTCATGTTCACAGAGAGGAAACGGTTGGGGGTCGGCCAGTCTCAGGAGATGAACACCCTGTTCCGATTCTGGTCCTTCTTCCTGAGGGACAACTTCAACAGAAAGATGTACGAGGAGTTCAAACAGAGTGCGCTGGAAGATGCCAAAGAAAACAACAGGTGAGGCTCAGGACGGAAATATAAAACAAAGCAAACTGAGGACATTGACTTCATCTTTAGGCCTTTTGGGTGGATCCCGTCATACCTGACGTAACATTTGTTCTGATTACTTTTTCCCTCTCTGCTGTTGCTCTTGTTTTATAATGCTTGTCTGGTTAAGGACACGCTGGGGCAAAGGCTGGTGGAAGGACGCACTAATCAGGATCAACTCCACTTGTGCTTTCTCTTGTACGAGCCTTCTTCAGTGTAAAGTGGTTTAGAGGGCTCACTATCCCAGAGTCTGGAGATCAGGCTGAAAAAGTAAATCACTGATATAGACGATTCCTGTATCAGGTGTTCCCTCCCCCAAGGAGATCGATTCCTTTTGGACGTCGGTTTTTGACGCCCTTTCCCTAGTTGTTAACATCCCTCTGACCCTGTGCCCTTTGACCGCCATCTTTGATTTGTCTCCTGTTCCCTTCATTGGGCGCGCACACTACCCACTAGGCCACAAGCGCCTCGTTTGGAAGTATGTTTCTAAGCTTTTTGTTGTCAAAAATGGAGTATACTGGGGTAGTTGGGATTTGTTTTTCAAGCAGGGCAGCTGTGGCTCAGTGGTAGAGTCAATCTTCTCTCAATCAGATGATCAGGGTTTGACCCCCAGCTCCTGCAGCTACATATCTGATGTGTCCTCGGGCAACACACTTGACCCCGAGTTGCTCCTGCTGCTTCATCTGCAGCTTGTGAATATGTATGAACGGGATTGGTTGACACTGATGGACACTACAAAGCAATCTGTACCATCAGGGTGTGAATGTGTAGGTGTGACCTGCGGTGTGAAGGCCCTGAAACACCAAGGAGATCATTTTAGTTTTACTGTCGGTGAGCGGTCGGAGGTTTCATTTCTCTCCAGCTCTCCTCACAGGTTCATTAAAGCCCCTCGCTGTAGACTCCATGCTTTCACCCATTAGTGCGGTTTCTCCTTATTTGTCTCCTCCGCCTCTTCTTTTCTTTTTCCACTAAAAGACCAAGAACTGACAACGCCAGCGCCATTTTCAACTTTTTATCAGACATTTTTCTCTATTAGTAGACGACCTATAATACAAGTGGTGACCGACAGCTGTGTGAAAATGGTCTTCTCGTATCATAACAAAGGACTACCACCGCCTGCTGGCATGAAGAGTTATTTCCTAACGCATGCACAGAACGAACGTGGTGGTTGGCCGTCGGCTGTAGTCTTTGCGGTGTGTTCAAGTGCAACTTTTTGGCCAAGACCGTCTGCCTGGTGTGTCAGGGCCTTAAAGGCGCTTTGAGTAGTCAGAAGATTGGAAAACCATTTACCAAGTATTGATATATAAACTTTCCACATATGAGCAGTAAGACTTTAATTCCTGAAAGCTAACACGCATTCCTCCTTTTAATTGTGACCTTCTGATGGGTTCCTGATCCCTGCGTTGTTGCCTGCAGGCAGCAGAAGTGTTACACCGCCATTATTCAACAGCAGAGGTTAACAGGGGAGGCTGCCTATCTGCCAGGAGCCACTTCACACACCCGCCAAACTCACATTCCTGTCACACAAGTCGCTTGTTAAAGCGGGAGTGAGCGTGGTTTCAGGGTGTGTGAGCAGACAATCTAACAAACCCATCAGCTGCTTTATGCAGCAGCTGACCTATTCTGAGGCTCGTCCGTCAGGTTCCTCCGCCAGCTTTAAGAAAGCCATCAATAAATCAAGAGACAAAGCTTTTATTGTGAAGTGCACATGTGGGAAAATGTCTGCTACGCTAAAGACCAGCTCACACTGAATCAATGACATCTTGAAACATGCCCTCTGTGTAAACAAAATGTGTCTAGAGGCCAGATTTGAGTGTCACTTGTTTAGTCGTGTCTGAGATCAGAGTGCAGGTAAATATTTGTCTCTCTCCCGCAGGTACGGTCTGGAGTGCCTCTTCAGATACTACAGCTACGGTTTGGAGAAGAGATTCCGGTTAGATCTGTTCAAGGACTTTCAAGAAGAGACCCTCAGAGACTTTGAGAAAGGTAATTAACATCAGCTGTCCCCAAACTTCACAACCACTTTCACTGGTTTGGCAAGAATGTGGGAAAAAATCACACAGCTGGACAAAGCATGTAAACAAAAAGCAAGTCAAACTGAGCTTCAAATAAACACATGGACATGGAGCTAGCAGTGACAGACGGGGCTAATTAGTGGAATTTAAAGAAGCACACATGCAAGAGAGAACTTTAATCCACAGTCTAATATGATACAAAACGTCACAGTAACAGAATGACGCTCTCTATTGATCTCTATGAAGGTCCAAAAGGTCACAGGAAGCAAAGCAAATATTTAAAAATCAGCTTTTTCTTCTATTGAGCAGAGACTCAGAGGTTCCCAACTTTAAAATCTGAAGCTTTAAAGGCTTTATATGTGATTTTTCACACTTAAATATAATATAAATCAAGTTTATCCTCTGAAAATAACTCTGTGAGTCATGACTGTCTACAATGGGTGTAACACCCGAGTCCCACTGCCTGTGATGTTTGGCCTAGTGGTTAGTGAATGTACTGAGGCTGTAGTCCTTCGTCCGAATCCGACCTGTGGCTCCTTTCCTGCACGTCATGCCCCTCTCTCTCTCTCTCTCTCCAATGTCTGACTCTATCCACTGTCCTGTCTCTAAAATGAAGGCCCAAAAATAAATCTTTAAAAAAGAAATGCTGACGTTGAGGCTGGCGGGGAATCATGGGAGTGATTCTCTCTGCTACTCCCCCCCCGACCCCGATGAAAACAAACTGTGTTGACTCTGGTCGAGACAAACGTACAAAACCGTCCTGAGGAAGAGAATATGTTTACAGACGAGCTAATGTAGCCGAGTATAATTTACATGACAGCTTTCAGTAGCAGCTCACGTTTCCTTATGCACCGGACTTTGACGTAACATCCGGTGTTTCCACGGCAACGTTAAACATGTGTCTGTCATGGCAGCCACCACAAAAGACATGGAGTGTCACAACAACAAAATTACAGATTTCTCTGTTTTTGATAACTGTTGGAAATGTTTGAGGTGATGGAAGTATAGGTTTAGTAATTTAATTAATTTAGATATTTTAGTGTAAACATTCTCCATATTTTACCTTCATGCGCGTTACAATACATTTATTTATTGAACATTCACAGCTCACTAATGCTAAACGATCCGGGTCACCAACGGGCGCCTTGTAAACCTGCTTGACCCGGTTTAAAAGTTCACGTCGCTGCGGCTCGCCCGTCGTTTAGCTGAATGTGTTGTTGTGTGAAAAGGGGGGAAAAGAAAAAGGATTAAAGTCGATTTTCTCTTCTTATTTCATCACCGCGAGTGACCCGCTGAAGAACAGAGGACTCGCGGTGAACTCTTCAGCCTCTTATTTCCAGCTCAGTGAGTTCAGTGTTCGGGAGGCTGATCCATCACCGAGATGCTTCACGTTAGAACACTGAATAATGAGTGTATGCCCACAATCGACAACAGATACTGTCTTCATGAGTCACCACCATCTCTGATAATAAATGTTCTTGTGGTTTATTAGGGTAGTTGGCTTCCCGTGAGTCGTTTTCTTATCTTCAAACACTGAAGATATTGCAGCATCAAGGAAATGATTACATCTTAGAAATAGGAAACTGCCTGCAGCACATTTCAATCAGCTAAACTTCTCTGTCCAGGGAACACATGTATGTCTAATTATAAGACAAAACATGGCAGCCAGAAATATTAACATGGGGTCCTGGGGGGGGCAAGGCAATCTCTACTCTGAGGTGTTAAAATAAGATTTGCACAGAGAAACTAAAAATCATGACAACACACTTTTTGGATGGTTCCTGCAAGGGTCTTTAGATAAGAATGAGAGTCTATTCTGTTTGGATCTTACAATAAAAAAAAATGAACATTCATATTTATTTCTGTCTGATTGGGTCCTTGAGGGCCTCAGCTATTCTTAGATACAAGTAGGAATAAAGGTCGTGAAACACCTAGAGCACCATATTCACTGCTGAAAGATAATCCTTTATTGATCAAAAAGAAAGAACTATAATCAAACTAGTCTGAAATCTGCACAGATCAGGAGAGTGATGCTTGAACGTTTACATGCTTGAGTTGAAAATAGAAATGAAATAATCTCTGTGCTGCGCTGTTTTGTTTTTGTCTTCTCTCCTGCAGGTCAGCTGTACGGACTGGAGAAGTTCTGGGCCTTCTTGAAATACTCTAGGATGAAGAACCAGCCCATCGACCCGAAGCTGCAGGAGCACCTCAATAAATTCAAGAACCTGGAGGACTTCAGGGTGGTGGTGAGTGTCCATGTCAGATATCCAAACAGACGCATGCTGGGTCTTTGAAAGAGAGACGAGGAAGATTGTGGCCGTACACATCGATAAATATCTCAAATATACCGTAATCAGCTTAAAAATGAGAATGACTCCCCAAAAATCTTCAGAAACTTTGGCTGATTTGCCTTTTGTGCAGTTTGATCGTTTGACAGTTAGGAGGTCATTTTACGGCGCTGCAGAAGCTCGATTATTAATCTCTAATTTATTTATTTTTTAAGAGTCAATTTGTTGATGTGAACACATAACCTCTCTTCATCTAATGATCCTGACTTCTGTGTCTGCAGCCTCCAATGGAGGGAGGCAGGAGGAGACGCCACTCATCCTCGGCCGGGGATGAAGGAAGGCGTCGGCGCCATCCTTCCAACACTACCTCAAAACCAACGCAGGCCTCTAAATCCTCTAATGCCGCAGCTCAACCCGCCACCGCCACAGCCACACAGAACACACCCAAAGACAGCGCGCAGAAAGCAGCCGCGCCCGCCGCCCGGGCCGAGAAGTCTGATCCTGGAGCCGGGAAGAAGGAAAGCGCTGCACCAAATAAATGAAGCTCCTCTCCTGCAGGTGTGGAGTTTGGATAGCAGAGATGCAGAGCGAACGCGGCGGCTGCAGCAGCTCTGGGCTCAGCGTTCGCTCTTTTCAGCAGCAAACAGTTTGGGTATGAAGAGAGACTGAGCGTGGTTGACTTCATTTGATCATTTTTATCATTTCATTTTTTAAATAGCAAAGCAAGCAAAGGCAGAGAGCTTCATTCTGTGCGCCTCACAGCTCGTCATAACGTTTACAAAAAAGAAAACTAAACAAAAAAAATGCATTCCCTGCATTTTGCCTTTATACTCTCTTCTCAAGATGCCAAAAGTCTTCAACAAGTCTGTTAATCTCCTCGATCTGTAAACAGCTCTGGTATTTAAAGAGCTCTCCACCTGTCACACTGTGGTTCTAGTTTGCCAAGATTAGAGATGCTGCAGATAGTCGTGTGTGCCTTAATCTGAATCTGCAGGTAGAGGAAAAGGGGGCGATCAGATGCAAAAAAAAAAAAAAAAATGCTTTTAAAAGTCTTCCAAGTTAATTATTTGGGGTTTGAAACTGTCATCACTTACACGTTTTCTTTCCTTCAGATATAGTTTTTTTTTTTTTTATGAGACAATCACGTTGACCGCTACAGCTACATATTTGTGAAGGACTGACCCCTCCGAGGCCGCTGAGCCGAAACAAAACTCGCCCCGATGTTTTTAACCGACAGAAAGGCATCGCAGCTAAACGATCATGTTGGGTTTTTTTAATTCAAAACCTGCAGAAATAACGATGAATTCATCTGGGAAGCTTTAAGCCCCTTTGTTTTTACACCCAGTGGTAGTATAATTTATTGTTTTATTTCTGTTTTTATTCTCCATTTACTTGATTTTAATGGATTAGTCTTAGGTAATCATTGCAGTTTTTAATGGCTTTTGCTATTGAATATGATATAAAAAAAAAAGAAGAAAAAAAAAAGGAAATGTTTCTGCTGGAATTATGGGTGTGAGCTAGCATCGTAAAACTAGCGCGTATTTTAGCTTGAAGTTAACTTCGTATTATATTTTGAGGCTTGGTGCTCTAGAGCACTTAAATCGTTATCTTTCCTTTTACTTTATAAATGGACTTTAAAGAGTTTCAGAGTTGAATTTAAAGAAAAAAAAATGTAAATACTATAAAAAATCATTTGCTATTCAGTTATTCTTTTGATTTTAAGAAGTGATTTGTTTTATCGGTAGTGTGGTTTTGAGTGTGTTTTAGCGTTGCATGTTAATGCCAGAGTCTTGAATTGTAAAATGCAAAAAAATATAAAATAACATTTGATTGTATGAGTTTGTGTTGGCGTCATCTGTGCTTCTTGTTGTTGTTACTCTGCACACTTCTCCCCCCTCTGACTTTGAGTTTTAAATATTAAGTCGTGTTGCTCAGGGCGAGTGATCGAACCTGATCGACAGGTTTTTTTGTTCCCGTCAGCAAGTCATCAGTCAAACATGAAAACAGTCTGTGAGGAGACTTTAAATCTAAAGTGAGATTTGTTCCAACAAGTGAGCAGCTTTCAGCAGTTATCATCTCCAGCAGAGTAAACAAGCGCTTAACTGGAGGAGGTGTTTACATAAAGTGTGCAAATAACACGGAAAACAGATTAAATGGGCAACACTTTGGGGAACAGATCCAGTTTGTCATCTTTAAAAAGGCTTTAAAGTATCTTTCTGAACATAAAATAACTTTAAAATGGCCTGAAAAGCTGAATCCTGTAAAAGAAAATTAAAAAAAATAAACGTCATGAATTCACGTGAATAAATGCGTCACTAACAAACTCAATCTTTTCCTGCGTAACAACACATTAAATTAAATTCATTGTTTGGGGGAAAAAAACGTGATAAATTTAGTTTTACAACAGGTAAGAAGTTTTTTTGGGTTTCAGTACGGGTCCTCACAAGGGACAAAAACCATCAGTAGTCCAGTCGCAACTTAGAAAAAGTGGTGGGCGGGTGCTTTGATGCCTTCACGTGTCCCTCGTAAATATCACTTCTGCTCTACATTGAAACGACGATTGCCACAATGTCAATACAGCCATTTTTATGCGTGATGGGAATATTGGAGGAGGTAAATCTTAGTGTTAACTTTTCAAATATGTCTCAAAATATATATACTGGTAAATCTCTGAAAATATTACACTTTAATCCTGTCATTTGTGTGTTTGTCACATTGTGGTGCTTATTTTAGTCCTCTTAAAAGTTACTATTAACCTGTTTTATGGTCAATTTCTCTAAAAACAAAGTTATCTTCTCTTTAATTCTATATTTTCAGAACTCAATAAGGTTAAATGTATCACTGATTGAGTTGTTATATGTAATATCAAAGCTGAACATATTCAAGTTACTACAGCCTAAATAATGAATCTATTTAGCTGAGTCTCTAAAATTGCATTATGGGAAATGTAGGACCCAAAAGCCAAGCTCCTACTGCTTTTGATTTTGACTATTCATGTTGGCTTTTCTCAGTGAATTCCCCCGTGTTCAGTCAAATATAATACTTAACACATGGAGTAAACTTTACTGAATTAAAGTTGCACTGAATCCATAAAACAAGCCTCCAATCAGAATGAGCAATGAATAACATTTCCAGTTCTCCACATGTCTGAGCCCCTGAACAGGCCCTCCTCAGATGTAATTTAATAATATTAATGTATGCATGTTGGATCAGGAGTGAAAGCCTCCTGGCTTACGTTCGCCTCCTCGTCCTGGATCTGATCAGCTTTTGGAGCTGACTGATAAAACTTTATTGACAAGTTATTGTTGGGGTCAAATGTGCAGGTTGGTCCTGGCATGTGTTGCCTGTACAAAGTCTGACATGCCCACCCATGATGTTAACATCACAAACAACAAGTTTAATACTGATTTAAGAAAGGGGAGGTAGGGAGAGGGTTACTTTTTGAAATAGGCAACAATAAATACAAAAATGGTTGGTTATCCTATAAGATCAGTAAAAACTGAGCGGTATACTAATTAGTTTGTATCACTTTTACAGGGAGTAATTTATTTGAATGCTATAGAGTGCAAACATTCATGTCAAAACCAACACAATCACATATTTTTCTCACATGGTGCAGGCCTAGAAAGTAGTAAGAAAGATAATTAGTGGATACTTTTTGGATTTAGGACTTCCAAAAGGTCATTTAAAAAAGTCAAAGTCAAAGTCAACTTTATTGTCAATTTCAAAATATGCCAGATATACAGTGGAATCGAAAATTGCGTTGGTCTCCGTCCCACGGTGCAATACAACCAAAATAAGGTAAAATAAGATAAAATAAGATAAGGTAAAACAAAACTAAATAAGGTAAAATAAGATTTAAATAAAATAAGGTAAAATAAAACTAAATAAGGTAAAATAAGATTTTAAAAAATAAGGTCAAATAAAATAAAATAAGGTCAAATAAGATAAAATAAAATAAGGTCAAATAAGATAAAATAAAATAAGGTAAAATAGATAAAATAAAACTAAATAAGGTAAAATAAGATTTAAATAAAATAAGGTAAAATAAAACTAAATAAGGTAAAATACGATTTAAAAAAATAAGGTCAAATAAAACAAAATAAGGTCAAATAAGATAAAATAAAATAAGGTAAAATAGATAAAATAAAATAAGGTAAAATAAGATAAATAATATTTGCAGTAATAAATTCTAAATAGTGCAAAAAGGTACAAAACAAAATGGGAAAACAATCGATAGTGAAAGTTATCGGGACTTGCAGCTCTATTTATCTGCCTAACCATTGACGGTGTCACTTCGCCCCAGAGGACGCGATGTAGCCTAACAACACGGATCGCTCGCTCAACCAGTGGTTCCGTCGTCTCCGACAGGACGTGAACGCAGCATCTGGCCAGGGGCGGGTAAGGCGCTAACCGTGCAGTATGGCGGACGATGGAGACAGTTCGAGCGGACCAGTTGACACAAGCGGCGGGCAGGGGGCAGCGGATGAGTCGGACGGGCTCGGCCTCGGCGGGATGTTGCTGAACATAAGTATTTTGGCGGTGCTGGTGGCGGTGTGTCTGGCGGTGTACCGGCGGTGGGGCAGGCGGCTCGTCTCTGACGCGGCCCAGGGCGACGAGGCCTCGGCGCTTCCCAAGATGAGGAGACGGGACTTCAGTCTGGAGCAGCTGCGGGACTACGACGGGCTCCAGAACCCGCGCATCCTCATGGCTGTCAACATGAAGGTCTTCGACGTGACCAGCGGGAAAAAGTTTTACGGGAAAGGTGAGTGTGTGTGGAGGGTTATCTCTCAGAGTCACAGCGGGAGGGGGGCCGGTGGAGGGAGGGGGGGGGGAGCTGACACGTCCCCGCTGAGAGGTCCCGAACCCAACATTTTGGGCGCTAAAGCTAAAGCTAGCTCTTTGGCTTTGTCTGTGTTTTTGAATGGGATGCTAGGTGTTAGCTGCTTTTTGTTTTAGCTCTCAGGAGTCGTGACTGCTGTGGTCTTGTACGAGCCCCTCCTAAACTTTGTATTTATCACATTAAACGTCTCAAACTTTCTCGACAAAGTTCCCCACAGGAGTGCAAGATTTAACAAGCTAGCCTGCTAATGCTAGCCTGTTAGCTGTGAGACGTGCAGACTGTGTGTGCTGTCTGGACCCGCAGCGTGTTTACATGCATGTACACTGAGAGGTTTACCCCCCTTATGTCTGATCATTTAGAGACATCACTCTTTGGATAATCAGTGTGAAGCAGGCAGGTGTTAGGAGGAGTGCCTTGCTCAAAGAGAACAACATTGATGCACAAATATGAAGAGAAAATATTCAGTTTGAGCTCCTTAGAGTCTTTATCACCCCATAATAATCTCTAATAATAGCACCCCTTCTTGTAAGAATAGATAGTAATGCTTAGATTACTTTAAAAGGTTGAGATGTTACCTTCCTGCAGCCTTGCTGTTCAATCATCATCAGATAATTATTTATACAATCACACAGTTACACATTTCTTCACATCCTCACAGACTGAAGACTCCTGGAGAAGCACACATGCATGCACCAACATAAGTCACATAAACCAGCATGCACTCAAACACAAGTTAAAATGCACAGACGCACAGGACACACAAAAAGTTTAAAAGAAACTTCAGATTTTGCAGCTCTAAAGTTCAGGAGCTCCAAACTGTAAACACACGGATCACCTCTGGATTTTAAAACATGAACGAAGAACGAGGGCTGGGAAACATATCGAGTTTTTAAGATACATCGATATATTTTCAAACAACATATAGAGTAAGACAATATCATTAATATGGATATAGTTTATGTTGCATTAAAATAACATTACAGAGGTGCCAGGTCACCTTTTCCTCATCTCACTGATGATGACTGTCTGCTCCTCTCTCTCTCTTTTATTGTATTTAAGGAACATTTTTATTTTATAACATTACTTTTTAAATTCATAAACAGGTAGTTTATTTTCCATGTGTTTTCACTGTTAATAAAATACATATTGATATATATCGAGTATCGCCATTCAGCTAAACAACATCGAGATGTGAGTTTTGGTCCGTATCGCCCAGCCCTACGAAGAACTGTTTAAATCAGAAGAATCGGAGAAGGCTGGTTGAATAAGGGAACAGTATTTCAGTGATGTAAGAAGGAGTCAGGCCACGCTGGGTTTTGTGTGTAATTAATAAAAACTTGAAATTGATCCTGAACTATTATTAGAGTTGTGGGTTGTTAAGCTCTTTAATGCATAGCAAAGGGGATTTACTTACTCGGATCAAACTGAGTAGAAAAGCTCTTAAAGTAAACGTAACAAAGAAAATGTCGCACATATCTTCCACTTGAGCCCTTCAGAAAAATGATTGATTACATCTTCCTCCCCTTCAGCAAGGTGTCGATGTAAAGTACATGTTCCAGTCAAGAGGCTTCTCTCCATCCCAGCCTACCCGCCCATCAACTCTATAATCAGCTCTAATTATTCCAACACATTCCCAACAGTCTCATATGTCACGTCTGCTGTTCCTGTTTCACAGCGCCAGGACAGGAGCCAAGATCTGAATCTATCCAGCTCGCTTAAATTATGACAAGTTTCAGAGCCGCAGCGAGGTTAGCATCGGAGCCGTATCTTAAATAGTGCGGTCGGTGTTCATGTCAGTGTTGAGACAATATGTTTACCAATCCATGTGTCAACACTAGAACGACAGAAATGTCATTATTGTATGCTTGGGGATACTTTAAGTCTGTTGTGAGAAACTTAAACCAAATAATTTTCTGAGTCTGCTTCTGGGCATTTAACATTTTCGTCTTTTCTTGTGAATTTAAATGCGCTTTAACTTTTTTTTTATTGTTG